TGATGCTCTTATTGACGATGAGTCGATAAGGCAACTGCCAACACACAAAAATAGATCTCCATCTGTTCGTAAGAAGACACACGACGGCGGCGCCCATGGGTTCCCATGTGACGCAAGTACCCTCTCGTTCATCCACCGCCGCTACCGCCTGTCCTGAGCGGATCATGCTGCTCGCACCCTACGGTGGCGGTATGGACCAGGCCTGCAACATCACCGGCGACTCCGAGACGATCGCGTCCGGCAGCACCTCCTCGGGTCACCACATCAGCGTCTCCCTCCGTCGCGAGCGGTCCCTGGCGCTATCACGCATATGCGTCCGCTTCCGGCACGGCGTAGCCGAAAGAGCCGCCGCCTATTCCAGCGTCGTCGCGGCGGCGCACGGCGGCTCCGTTCTCTTGCGCATCGTTTCGAAGGAATGCTACGAGAAATCCCCCGCGACCGCCGGCGACTACTTCATATACAACGCGGGTGCCGCCGCCGCCGCCGCCGCCTATGCGGGTGCACGCCCGCCGTCCTTGTATCTGCTCCCACCTTTTACTTCAACCAAGCGGTGGTGGGAGTGCCTGGATATAAGCGCCACCGGCCTCGTGTGCCTCGGCGAGGCCGAGTTCGTGGTGGCGCAGCTGAGGATGGTGTGGGTGACGGACGCCGCCGCCGCAAGGCCGCCCCACAAGGCGGCCGAGCTCCTCCTGTTCCGTGACGGCCTGTGGCGTGTCAAGCGGCCGCGGATCGTCCACGACCACGGTGAAGACGGGGACATGTTCGTGGCCCTGTGGGAGCCTCAGGCCGTCGTGCCCCTAGGCGACGACGGGGACGGGCTGCTCTGCTGGGTCGACTTCTCTCGCGGCGTCGTCTTCTCCGACGTGCTCGACCGGACTCCCGTGCTGCGGTACGTGCCGTATCCCATGGAAGCGATGAAGCACCGACGCCTCGTGTGCACCAACGGTCGCGGTGCGGTGAAGTTGGTCAGCGTCTCACCCTCACACCGTGGCTGCTCTGACGACGAGCTTGCAACTGCCGTCATCGACGCCTGGATCCTGAAGACGGATGACATGGCTTGGGTTTTGGAGACGGAGACCACCATGGTCGACTCCACCGAGCTCTGGGCCCTCGCGAACACACCGGGGTTCGCGCGCTTCCACCTGGTGGTTGACCCTGTTGCGAGCATGGACGGTGGTGGCCCGTGCAAGTCGAAGCCAAAGGGCCACCAACAAGTCTCACGTGTGATAGAGCACAGGGCTGGAATGACTCGATTGATGTATGTATAGGCTGCAGTAAACGGCAGAAGAAGCAGGTTCAGGAGAATTCAGTAGCATGCATGCAAAGTGATCCGTTCAGGTAGGGCATCGGTAGAAAATGCTAGGCATTCAGTCCAATATTACCTCAACTACAGCATGTAGCAAGTAAGAACCCTAGTGGTCTACCAATTAGGACCACTAGATGTTGATCCAATGGATATGGTGAAGGAGCTTAGCGCAAAAAAAAAAAGGCCGGCGGGTGGGGGGCTTAAGCGCAAAAAAATCCCACCTCTCACCCCATCCATTGGATTAGCATCTAGTGGTCCCGATTAATAGCTTTTAAGTTCAGCATAGGTTGGTTGGTTTGCACTTGATACGCTGCCAACTACTTTTAATTCAGATAAATGTTTTTTTTCAGCTTTAATAAGCTCTGTCCAGCAACTTCATTGATGCACCGTTACAACTTACAACAACTATATGGTTCTGAATAAAACTATCTGTTCTCAACTACGGGCAACATTATTGATAAAAACTAGATCCTGCATGTGATAGTAGTGTTATCGGGCCCTTTGAAGCACTGGACAGACTACCAGATTTACATGGTTGAAGTGTGCACCTGCTGAGTTCTTCGCGATGACCGTCACACTTGAACTCTTATGAATTGGACGGTTCTGCTACAGGGAAAGATCAGTGGAAGTGGTTTGTTAGAATTGTTGCTTCTCTTCGGATCTTGGTAATTGGTGTGTTCATCAAGGGAAGTAATTGGTTGGCTTTCGATTGCGGCGATTTCGACCTTCAACATCTCCAACACTTTATTCTGATGGTGAAGGATATGCATTTCTTGGAGGATTCCTCCAACCAATGTTCTTTTAGTGGATACTAGATCTCGTTGTTTGCAGCGAGTGACTTTTGCGGTCTTCAAAGCTTTGCTTGTCGAGGGTGTTTACACCGTACGATTTTCAGGCTCCAACATACAATATTAGGTGATCGGAGGAAGAAGACGACCTAATTGGTGTTTGACAATACTCTTATTTTTTAGAGGTCATTTTGTATCATGCTATCCATCTTTTATGCTAGCCTTTGTTTTTCTTGATATATATTAGATATAAACACTCTTCATAGCATCTTTATAAAAAAGGGTAAATTAGATATATGTGATTATAAATATCGCGTTTCGAAAGTTATACCATTACAATTTGTCATATTAGAATGATGCCATTACGACAATTCATTCTCCATCCGAGATATGCCACTCTGTACTATTTGTCATATTAGAATGATGTCATTCTCCACATGATGATCCATTCTCCATTAGTGAATCGTACTTGTAAATACATTTTCGTAGGCGGCGGCATTGTTACCACCGCCGTCCTTGAAAAACAATTTCAAGGATGGTTGCAATGCAACAACCGCCACTAAATATATGTTTACAGGGGTGGTGTGCTTACTTGCAACACCCCGAAACCGGATTTTAGGGACGATTATCCCTCTCGCAGCTGCCCTGAAATTCCACTTTCGTGGCTGGATATCTAACGAACCGCCCAAGAAATACTTTTCTAGGGACGGTTAAATGCCCGATGCTACAAACACTCTATCTTTACAATCGATGGCATTGTAACGGTTTTTTAAACCACCCCTAAAAACCGATTTTAACCGCCTCTAAAAAAGCTTTTTCATGCTAGTGGAGGAGGCTATCGGCCACTAGTGGTGACACCATCGTGGATGCCATCTGCTCTTGAAGGCAACCACAAGGTTGGCGCCACTTGCCTTGTTCTCGCTGCACTACTTCAGCAATATTTTTCAATGAACGAACAATGTTTTTCATTCACAACATTTCAGCATAAGCATCAAAGATAAGCCAAATTTCAGCATAAGCCACAAGGTTGGTGCCACTGTTCTCACGCTTGTCGCAGGTCATTGCCGCCACTAGGGTTAACACTGTTGCCATGGATGAAAATCAGGTCACTGACTGGCTGCCCTCACCCAGAGTGGTGATGTAGGTGGCTGTCACTAGTGGAGGAGGAAGGTGTCACTGCAAACCTGGATCTAGGAACAGGTGGGGGTGGTGATCTAGGGGGGCCGTCACAGCTGGTGGGGTTCGATTGATGCAGGGCAGCTAGTAGGTATCGGATTTGTATACACTCCTATTTCCGAAAGAAAGACATAGGCAAACTTAAAAGCAGTATCCAAGATATATTGTCAATGACCCATAGTTTTGGTCTGGTATGTCTCCGGCTGTATGCATCATGTCATCCCACAGGACACAAGAAACAAAAAGGTAGGCTCAACTAACTAGATGAGACAAACTACTATGAAAGCAGAAACTGATAGAATAAAATAAAAAGTATTACTCATTTACTCAAAGCATTTATTTGTTTGAGTTGGAACACTACAAATTCTGTTGATTAAAGACAGAGTGAAAATTGTGCATAGAATACCATTTATTTGTTATAGATACACAGAGTGGAAAAACTAGCTTGAGTATACTGATGGCAAAGATAGAGTGGAAAAATCAGCTTGTCCCTCACTCTATCCCTTCTCCACATGCAGATGATGCAAACATAGCAGAATAAATAATCAGATGGACCTATATCTAAATCTCTAAACCGTTTTGCAACAGATGGTACTATGCCCATGGAAGCAATATAAAACTAATAGATATGTGATGCTTTCATGATATGTACGACTATAGTTTTGTTGGTAACTGATTCAAGATTTACTTAATTAAAATAATAACATAACAGACATAGTAACAGTTATTAGCTTGTGTACTCACTTAGCTAAAATAATAAAAACATACAAGAAACATAACCATGTAATTGAAGGCTGGACCAAACTTGGAAGCAAGGTCTACTAGAAACCCTTTAGCGCACATAATTTCAGTCTCATATGTCTGCATCTTAACTCCATGCATCACCTCCCCCACAAGAGACTCAAAATTAAAAAGGTGGATTAAAGGAACTAGATGAGACGAACTGTTATCATGGAAAGAAACAAGAAACAAGGTCTAGTCACCGACACCTAGTATTTCTTTGTCTAGATCCAAAGAGAACAAATTATGTTGTTGGGATAGTGGGGAAAATGAGCTTGATTCCCCCTCACTTTACCCCTTTCTTCACGTTTGGACTATGCAGAAATTATTTTATAGCATGAGAGCAAAAAAAATGGTGAATGGAACGAATACATACAATTATCGGTGCAGAATAAAAAGAATGTCAAACAAAGCTACACTGCAGTTATGAAGGAACCTCTGAATAACCAATGGACATCGTCTCCATTGCTCTAGCAGATTACCAAGTTAGTGACTCAGAAAACATAACTAGCTAGCGCCACCCCATTTGAACCACTACGAACAAATATAACATAACACCTAAGGGGCTGCAAAAAAATTACATTGGAAGGTCACCAAAGAGAAACGATCATACAAAATATCAAGAGGTTGAGGGGAGGGGGTAAGTTATAAACTTCATGGGTTTTAGGGGAGAGAATGTGGAGATAAACCCTTATGTGCAGGCTTTTTAATCATATCTTTTAAGGCACACACTGGATGGTGGGGACCAAAAAAGGGGAAGGACGAAAAATGTGTAGAGGGATAGTGACATAGGAGAGGAGATAAAGATGAGTTACCCTCACGCAAGGTAACAGCCCCTTTCCACCTATAAATGTCCCTTTCCTACAGTTCTATCTCCATCACCAAATAATCTCAAATAAAGCTCACCATATCTAGAGTTGAGCCCACCATTCACCCAAGAGTGCACATCCATGGATTTCTCTAAGCCCACAGCATGTGAAGCCTCTATGGAACTTGCGCCAGGGTTCAAGTTTAAACCAACTGAAGAGGAGATCGTGATGCGCTACCTTGGTCCTCGTGCTGTGAATGAACCACTCCCCTCAGCGTTCATTGTTGATGTGGATATCCTAAGCTGCAACCCTTGGGACCTAGTACCAGGTCATGTGCACATACACCAACCTTTCCCAACAAATACATGTATAAGTTCCTTTTAATTTCATTTGATTGCTCCTGCTACAATCTGATCTGATCTATGTATGACTAAAAATTCCCTGCTTGGTTTTCATGTTTTGTTGCTGTATGTACACAGAGGGATCTGTGGAGAAATACTTCTTTTGTCAAAGAGTACAAAATGGCCACATGGAAACCGGTACAATCGTGCAGCAGGTGATGGACACTGGAGAGCATCGGGTAAGGATGTGCCCATCTTTAGCAATATCATCAATGGTGGAATGCCTTTGATGGTTGGGCTAAAGAAAACACTGGTGTTCTACCTTGGCAAGGCACCAGCTGGTGAGAACAAAGAATGGGTCATGCAAGAATATAGCCTTGTTCAAACCGGCCTCACACCCTATCCAGTGATTAGTCCCAATGGAACCAACAACCTAGGAGAACACAGCCGTGATGCAGTGGCAATCACAAAGGTATATTGACTCAAAATCCAAAGAATTTTGTTCTTGAATACTATTGGTTGCATGTCAATTAGGACGCGGGGGGGGATGGGGGCTATACGTGATAATCTGCATGGTTTAAGAGTGAATCTTACTACTTGGTCTGGCAAAATTTCTTGTGTGGGGAAATAGTTATAGTTAGTTATCCTTTGGCGGGATTCTTCGAAGATTCAAAATATTTATGTAAAAAGGAGTTCGTTGTCGGTTTGCTCAAAAGTAAGCTTCACTATTTCAGCCAACAACACGTGTCGGTAACTTGTTTCTCGTGGAATTGTTGATGTAACATCTCAAGCATTGGGCCTATATCCTAACATAGAGTTGTTTATAGAGAACATCTAAAAACTATCTGATTCAATAACCTTCATCATTTTGAGTAGTGAGAAAGACATATAATAAAAAAATCAGTCATGCTGTCCAATTTGGTCAGTTGTAAAATTAGTAACCTCAAACTTAGCTTTTGCTGCCAAGCCTAGCTGCTGTTCTATGTAAAACAACATAGTATTCACTATGTTTTACCCATTTTCACCTAAAACGACACTGCATATATAACCAATAGTTTTGTGAACTCCTGTAGAAAAAGGATAATCTCTCTGAAGCTCTCTCCAATGCTACTACAAGTGTGCCCAAGGTTGTTCCTGTCATGATTAATCCAGATGACTCCTGGGTTGTCTGTCGCATCAACAAGAAGAAGAAGCAGAAGCGTGCACCACGTGCCACTTCCCAGCGTTACAACATTGCAGATGGAGGGCAGGTCTGCTTCTTCAACTTCCTTGGGCAGGGTAATTCAGAGGGAACTTCTAGCTCAGGCAGCCTCACCGACCTACCAATAGAGAAGGCAAAGGATAATAATGAGGGTAGGGGTGGAACCAACGACAAAGATGATACAAATGAGGCCGGGAAGTAATTTATGTTGGCAGCAATAGTGCTGTAGAGTGGGCAATGGCATTATGTAATAAGGTGTTGGAGTTAAACTTTAAGAGATTACCACCTGTAGAGTTTTGTTCAGTTATGTTTATTTCAAGTAATAATGTGCCGGCAGACTTTGGTCTATACAATCTCAAATGTTGTATGTCACTAAGATATTACAACATATATTGAAGCTGTGGTTTTCATTATTGGAAATACTTTGTTTAGTATCCTAACGAGACATATGAAGTTCACATTGCCTTTTTGCATTATGTTTGTTAATTATAGAAATTTTCTTTTTGTTTATATTTTTTAACTGTTATTTTTGTTTATAGGATCATAAAAGTATACCAAGAATACTTGATTATCCTAAAGGCTTGACAAGATTAGACATGATAAAAGGACCTAGTGCAAATGCATGTAAACTCACCTCATGCCAAGTGTTCTATTTTTCATTTTAGGACATTAATTAATTACACCAACAAAAATAACACTAATTAATCTTTTCTTACCAAGCTACATGTTTTCATGCTCTTGGCCTCATCACCCACAGGATGCCTACTTTACTCAAGGAAACAGAAACAAGCACAAAAAGAGTGCCATAGAGAAGAGGGAGGAAATTGAAATTTGTGATAAAAAAGGGCAAAAAGACAATAAAGATAGAGAAAACAATACAACACCCATCTTAGTAATTTTTTGTTCCTATCTATCAATACTTTATTATAAGATATCTATACATTTGATGTGTAAGAGTGTGTAGATAAAGAAAAACATGCATGGGACAAGAGTGATGAGTCATTACACTATGTCGTGCATGCACTATGCACAAGAAAAGAAGGGTGAGATAGGGGCTACCTAATCATGATTTGGCAAAAAATGTGAATAGCCTGAAATATAGGGAATTGGATAGTGCACGTCCATCGTACTACAAGCCATCCACACACACACACTCATTTTAGACAACAAACAAAACCACAGCCTGGCTGGAGATAACATTTGCTTCACTGAACATATTGCACGTCATATTTGCTTCATTGAACATACTACCTTCCCCTCTTTTGTTTGACGTTGGATGCTTTGGTCACTTTCAAATATAATGATCAAACATGCACAAAAATCATAGAGCATGTATAGCAGGATGAAGAACTAGCTTCTGTATTCTAGCACCACTGCTGGTGTATGTGACATACTACTCAAGGGAATTGATAATAAAAGGAAATTATGAAATATTTTTTGGTTGAAATTGCCAAATTATGAAACCAATTTGTTACTATTTTAAAATCATATAATTGCAAAATGCATAACCATATGTATTGTTTTGCATTTAGCAGACCCATATTATTATTGCCTAATTTTTGTCCATATTACTGTCCAGTTCATAACCATTTTATTTTTCCTAAGTAAGTACAATGTCTTATCTAATGCCTGTCAATGCTAATATTGCTACTGCCTAATGATGTGCCAATATTACAACCTGATTGATTCTATTTTCATGTAGGGAAGCAAAAGGTGAATTATGCATATGAATAAGATTTCTTCATAATTTGATTGATCAATAGATATAGGCATTCCATACTTTTGCACTCATCAACTAGTGAAGACATTGCTTTATAGCTTTACACAGTTTTCTGGAAGGGGGAGGGGAGAAAATTTTCATAATAAGAAATTGAAGGAACGAACGAAAACTAATTAAAAAAACAGAAAGCCAATCTTTTAAAAGCTTCAAACTCTAAAAACTAAACAAATCACTCAAGTGGTGTTGCTTTTTCCTACATGACTGAACCAAAAATACAGATCAATGCAGGGAAGCACAGTACGGAGAGAAAAACAAAGCTAGACAACTAGCATGCTTTACCCATGTTCATGGAACAAAAAAGAATTCATACTAAGCCCGTAATATATGTTTTGTTGGGGGCTTAACCCCCCCAAATAAGGTCCCCCACTTTGTTGACGATGAACACTTCGTTCATGAAGAGGATGAGCTGGGAGAACCTGTTGAGCTAGATAAAACCAAGCTGCCATTACCTCTCCCGATTGAGCTTAAACCCCTTTGTTCCGGCTGAAATATGTCTTTCTCAAAAACAGTTGAGAAACTAGTCATCATCGGTGACAAGCTTTCCAAGAAGAAACACATGAACTTGTCATTGTCCTAGAAAGACATAGATAGATCATAGGCTACTCACTCCAATACCTTAAAGGGATTAGTCACTACTACGTAAATCTTATCCGAGGCAAAGAAAAAGCGGTTAATGGAGGCGGGCAAGCGTTAGCCTCCGTCGAATGGTCTCATAAGTTATTGCAGACCCACGGAGGTAGGTGCGACATACGGAGGTGGACTATAGCGCTCAATCTTTGTCCGGTCAACAAGGCCAAGAATGGTCGCGGCTATGCCATCCACAAGCCGCTTGCCGTCGTGGGTGCTAGTGCGATAGGAGGTGTTGTTTGCGGCTTGGACCGAGGGGTATTGGCCATGGCCGACCCACGCGGTCCCTTTTAAGTCGTGCACAACATCCAAAAGGAGGCGCTAGGCGAGGTTGCGAGGCCAAGAGGGCGATGATGATGGACGCAGGAGGCCAGCCACCGTGATAGGGAAGGTGGACGCCTCGTGAGCTGCCATCATGGGTGGGGTGTAGGAAAGAAGGTTGAGTAGGAGATGAGGTCCGCCGTCTTTGGAGATGCAATTCCGTGCAATGCATCATCGGTCGTCGTACTATGAGGCGAAGGCGCTCCTACAAGTGTACATCAGGGACAATGAATCATTGGAGGCGCGGGTGGCAGAGGCTGAGTGGCCTATGCTGTCGGAGACATGGGCGACAGAGGCGGAGTGGGCGAGTGGCCCACACGGTCGGTGGCATGAACGGATCGAGATGTCCTAACGCCACCGTCGAGAAGCTTGGCCTTGGCTACGTGCCACGAGGCTCACTGCTTGTGGACCTGGCACCGACTCCTATGGTGCTCGTGGATCTGGCCGTGTCGCCACCGCAATAGGTAGCCCCGCCCTCTCGCCATGCCCATCGTCGCAACAGGCTCGCATGCATCCATATGGAGGGTGTGAAGAAGGCAATAATAAGAAGATGAAGGATGATGGGTAATATACCGTCCATACAAAAAGTTCGCCCGCATACATATAACCGCGGATGGGCCCCAGGGGAAGTCGGACTACAAAACATGTGAATGCAACATACGTCTGAAGCAGATGAAATATTTAAAACATACACTTACAAACATGTGTGTGTAACATATGCAACATCTAGATAAAACACCTGCAACTTGTAACATGAAAACACTTATTGCAACATAAGAATGAAACAATCGAAACATTTCGAACATACTCTTGCAACATATGTGTGAAACATGTGTAACATCCAGATAAAAAACGCTTGCACATACGTCTGAAACAAATGAAAACATGTCTCTGAAATACTTGCAACATGCCTCTGAAACACTTACAACATATACAACATCACAGTCTACTTTTTGCAAAATCCATATGTAACACTTGCAACATAGCTCAATAACATCTGAAACACTTGAAATATACATTTGCAACATAGAGGAGGGAGATACTAGGGTCGGTTGATTCTGGCCTTTGGAGTGGGAGCCTGTGCTGAGCGGCAGCGCGCGAGCACCACCAGCACGGCCCGGGCTCGCGGGTGCCCTTGACTTAGTAGGGACTGACCCTAGTCGCGCGACGGCACCACCAGCACCAACAACAAAGTGGCGGCGCGCCTGATGGCACGGGTAGGCACGCGGCGGGTGGGATTGCGAGAGCAAGGAGCGAGAGTGCGCTAGTGGGGCCCGCGACGGGCAGGAGCGAGGAGCGAACGGCGCAGGATGACGGCGCGTGGGGGGAGATGGCCGCTACGGCGAATGCGGAGTGGGGGTGAGCAAACGGCTGCACGGCGATGTGAAGCGTGCGATGGACGAGCGAGTAGGAAGATATTTTTGAGAGGGATGAGGGAGACGTACAGAGGAGGAGACAGGCATGTTGGGCCGGTAGCACGCGCAGGCGGCGGCGGAAGCGGCGTGCGATCGGACGGACGTCCGACCCTGAGCAATTACCGTTTAAATATAGGAGTACAACTTTTTTACGGTTGGTAAAAAAATACAACTGATATGTGTGTTGGCTGTATAAATACAGTAGGCGTGCCGTTATGGGCCTCCACCGAGGCCTACTAAGACGTTTGGTCCGTTATCAGACCTTTCTAACCTTTTTTTTTTCCTTTCTTGTGCTGGAAGGGTGTTTTAAGCCGATGTTATAAAAGCACGTTCTGAGGAGTATTTAGCTTTTAGTATGCTGATGAGAAGCTAAAAAATGTATTACAAAAGTTAATAGCAAAAATCCAATAACCAGAAGCCAAATGTCAAAAAATCAACTTTTAAACCAAAAGCCCAAAAACTGCAGCTCAAATTAATGGACCCTAAGTTAAACGAGCATGCGCCTAAACCATATGCATAGTTTGTACTATAGCAAGGATCATCCATATGAATATTGCGACAAATAGCTCCACCTTTTATATCATATACTGGATCATGATCTGTGTGTTGCAAGGGGAACAAAAGAATGTCACGATAATTCAGATATGTGTTCTATTATTGCCAAAAATGATTTTAGAGTGTGAGTTCGTAACATTTCGTTTGTAGTCAATTACTAGAAAACTCAGCGCGGCTTTGCCGCACCTTGCTTGGAGTGCACCTGCCTTGGATTTTTATGTTACCTTTCAGTTGCTACTTGATTTAAATATGTATGTTTTAGAGCATGATTAACATTAGTAATGTTTGAAATTAGCCCATAGCTGTTTGGAGTAGATTCACTGCTGCTCTTCACTGTACTCGCTGCTCTTCACTGTGCACTGTGTTATACCGCTAGTTGTTACGTTGCTCTGAATATAAAATGCTTGTGGCCACAGAGGAATCAGAGCGTTAAAGGAGTTTGGATTTACGACCCTTCAAGTGGCTTGCCGTGTAGCTCCAGATAGATCCTGAAGGTGGCCCTGAGCTAAGTCGTCGATGGCGCGCGTGCAGGTGACCTCGACGAGGATGTGGGGCGGGTGCGCCATGTGCAGGACGTGGTGTGTGCCTGGGTAGATGCGGTGGCAGCTGGCGAGATGTGGAGGTGGCGTCGGCAGGTGGGATGGAGCCATGGAAGCGGGCGAAGCTACGAAGGGGCACAGGTGGGGCGGACGGAGGAGGAAGACGATGTATCTGATCTTTTTACGCTTTTAGCTCAAAATAGCTGGTGGTTTCTCAGCTAGTTGGCTAGTGACTAATCGAGAGTTTGACCAAAAATTAGCCCACCGATTAATTTCCTATTTGAATGGACTAGAGTTAATTTGGGCTAGCTTTTAGCTGGCTAGTGATTAGCCATAGGATCAAACAGGACCTAAGCCCTATGCTACGCATTCTATTCGAAGCAAAAACAATTCGCAAGATGGTGCATTAACCGTTGCTAAGCCTTGTTTAGATGCCAAAAATTTTGGCAAATGGCACTGTAGCAGTTTTCGTTGTTATTTAGTAATTAGTGTCCAATTATAGTCTAATTAGGCTTAAAAGATTCGTCTTGTGGATTTCATCTAAACTGTGTAATTAGTTTTATTTTTTATTTATATTTAATACTTCATGAAAGATTCGATGTGATAAAAAATCTTGAAAAATTTTGTAAAATTTTTTGTAACTAAACTAGACCTAAGTGCTAATCAAGGAACTGAGAAAGCAGGGCAGAGCGCACTGAGAGGACGTTCCCCAGAGCTTTACCTGTCCTTGTCGCGCGCTGCACGTGCGTTCTGATCAGCCGCTGCCTGCCCCTGTCTCGGTGATTTTTGGACGGCCGCTGCATTACCGGTGATGGCTTGGTCCACTGGCTTGTTCCCAGCCGTCGCGGCCATGCATGGCCGCCAGCGCGTGGTCGATCGTGACGACGTCCTCACGCGCCCGATTTGTCCATTGCGACGACCCCGGCGCCGGGGTCACGAGGGAGTACCTCCTATCGCAATTCCTTTCGGCATCTGTCGGTTTATTTCGTCTTCATTCATGTCCTCCGTTGGAGTCCTTTTCTGTGGTTGCGTTCTGCATGCGGAATTTTTTTTTTGTTTTTCCTGAGTCCATTTTTTGTTTCCGCTTGTTGGGTTCATTTTGTTTTTTCTTTTCCGCTCATCTATTTTTTTTTTCGTTTTTCTTGCGTTCGTCTTTTCACGGGCGCCGTTGCACCTACCTCTTTTTTTTTTTTTTGCATTTTTTAGTATTTCTCTCTTTTCGACATGAAAATAAGAATAAATAGTAAATACAATATCATAGGCACTTGAGCCATTCTTTTCATAAATAAATATCCGCACCACTAAATTATTCATGTGTTTTTTTATTAGGAATACAACTTATTTTTGTTAGAAACTGGATCAGCAGATGATCCAACTAATCAAATCGCGAACTGAAAGTACTTTGTTATACAATATATAATATACTCCAAGCTGTTCACATATAAATTAAAGTATGTTGGACCGAGCGTGACTAATATCTGATGTCGCAATTCATTTCGACATCCGTACATTCATTCCTCTTCATGCCTCCTCCGTTGGAGTCCTTTTCTGTGGTCGTGTTCTGCATGTGGGATTTTTGTTTTTCTTGAATCCATTTTTGTTTTCGCATGTTGGCTCCATTTTTTCTTTTCGGTCCATCCGTTTTTTTGTTTTTTTCTTGCGCCCATTTTCATGGGCACCCTTCCACCTACCTCTTTCAGTATTTTTAGTATTTCTCATTTTTCTTATATAGACATAAAAACCAATAATAAAGGTAATATCATAGGTACTCGAACCTTTGACATTTTTATCATAAATAAATATTCATACCACTAAATTATTGATGTAGTTTTGATTAGGAACACAACTTAATTTTTTGTTAGAAACGGGATCAGCTGATGATCCAAGTAATCAAACCGTGAACTGAAATATTGAGTACTTTGTTATACAATATATAATGTAAATAAATATACTCCAAGTTGTTCACATATAATAGTGCTATCCTCGACGAGAGATGCCATGTGAAAAATCGAAAGAGGTCTTCATCATAATCATCAACAAACACACCAGTCCCTAACATGTCAAGAGTTAACTCCTTACCGCTTGAATAGATATTAGAATTATAGATTTTCATGGGTTTTCAAAGTAAGTCATGGAACTTAATATTTATTTATACCAATAGTATGAAAATTAAAATTATGATATATCTGCGAGTGATATTTCTGTGATCATGATTGACTTAAATTATGGATGTCGTAGTCAATCAAGGTCTTAAAAACTTTTATGGATGTCGTAGTCCATATTTTTAAGACCTTGATTGAGTTGTACATGATTTCAATCAAGGTCTTAAATTATGGATGTCGTAGTCTTAATAGTACATTGTCTTATTATCTTAATATAAAATTTACTCTTTGGTATAATTTGGTGAGTTGTACATGCAGCTTGAATGTTTGACAACTCATTTGTCATCTTCATCTTTTTTTAGGATCACTTGTCATCCACATCCTTTTTTTTGATTCATTGTCATCCACAATTCTTATCTCTGTCACCTGTGGTAAAAGCCCGTTCAGGAATTAACAGCCAGTTGTCTTGGCGTGCCGTTTGGGCCGGCCCACGAAGAAATTTGGTCCATCGATATGCACGAGGCCTATCTGATCCTCCTGCCGCCTGCCGGGCAATCTTCTTCCTCCCCAATGCCGCCGCCGTTTCCGCCGTCTCCCCCTCCCCCGCGTCTCCTCGCCGGCGGCGACCACCACCCGCCCCCGACCTCCGCCTCCTCCCCGGAACACCCCTTCCTCTCGGCGCACCTCGTCCTCCCCTCCCCGTCTCCGTCCCCCGCCGATCTCTCCTCGCCGCACCTACCCCTCGCCCTCGCCTTCGCCTTCCTCACCCAGCCTTCCCCGCTCCCGCGCCGTCTCCTTGTCGTCCTCCACGCCGCCGGCGCCCGCTTCCCCGCCTTCTACCACGCCTTCGCGTCGGCTCTCCTCTCCCTCCCCTTCCCCTCCTCCTCCCCACCCGCGCGCCCGCCTCCTCCTCGCAGCCTCGGAGCTCGCCCGCAGCGGCGCCGGGGTTCGCGCCCTCCCTCGCCTCCCTCCTCCGCCGCGTGCCGTTCCCCGGGGACGCCCGCCTGCTCGAGGTCTTGCACGAGCACGCCTCGTTTCTCGCCGACGAAGAGCCCCAGCTCCTCGCCACCGCCGTGTTCGCCTTCCTCCGACTCCTCTCCCGGAACCGCCTCGCTCCGGCCGCAGGCAGCGTCGAGTGCAAGGACTGCGAGGAGTGCAAGGGTGCCAAAAATCTGCAAGAATGCAGGGGAATGCTGGTGTCTTTCTGCGTCTCCATGCTGCAGGATCACTTCCAAGTGTGCGCACTGCTCGGAAGGGACCTTGTGAGGTCGCTCCACGAGCTGGCGCTCGTGCCGGAGTTCCAGGTGCTGTGGCGAAATTTGATACTTGACCCTGCTGCCAACGTCTGTCAGATCGGCACACCCCGATGGTGCCCAGCTGTGGCCATCACGTCAGAGATGGAGATGCAACTCTTGTTCATGATGAACAATGTGAAGTGGGGGGATCAGAAGAGGTACCAGCTGTGGTTTGCAAGGAAGCACCTGATGGTTCCTGGAGGAGGAGAGGATCCCTGACATTGTGCGGTTCATATGCTGCGGGTACCACCCGACCAATGAGGTCATGCAATCTGGTGTCATTGCTCGCTGGGCGGTCGTGGGTTGGCTGCTGACGAGTTGCAGCAAGGGTTATGTTGTGGCGAATCACGAGGCTGGCGCTGTTCTATGACTGGTTGTTCTTCGAGGAGGGAAGGGGTAGTGTTATGAATATTGAACCTGCTATGCTCCTGATGGTGAACTCGGTGTCTCAGTACACGGATATCACGAACATGTTGCTTGAGTTCTTGTTTCTTCTGATTGACAACTATGATGTGCAGAGGAAGGAGGCGATTGCACACGGTGTGAGGAGTGCGTTTGGGGTGCTAGTGAAGAAGGGAGTGGTTCCGTCATTGGAGCCATTGACAGGTTGTGACAAGTTATCACCGTTGCTCAGGCAAAAGCTTCTGGCATTTTTATCTAATACTTGTGAGGCGGCTGAAGAAGCTTGTGGGAAGCGAATCAATGAGGTTTCTAAAGGAACATAATTGAACAAGAGAATTTGCTGAAGCATGCAGGTAATTTATGGTAGTCACAACCATATCTATGAGGAATGAATTCAGCTCCTATTCATCAGGATTTCCTCGTTTTGGAAACTTTCGTAAACCTGTAAAGAGGAAACAGAAGGTGCTTTAGGTTTTGTATAATGACAAGAGAGAGGTGAAGAAAATTTTGGAAGCGGCAAACATAAGGAATGTGAAATATGGGTTAATCTTTGGCTTGCCCTGTTACCTGCTTGCCAGTTTCTGATTGACATTTACAGGCAAGCGTAAGGAATGTGAAATATGGGTTAATCTTTGACTTGCCTGGTTACCTGCATGCCAGTTTCTGATTGATATTTACAGAGACATCCTACAAAGATTGCGCTACTCGTTCAGATGCCAACCTCTTTGGTTATATATGCCATAGTACTTGGCATGAATTTACTGCCTGGTTAACCTGTGAAGCAGTTGAATTTGCTCAAGCTACGGTGCCTTCAGTTGATGCTGAAGATAGTGTGTGAAGGGATTATTTCACTGGTTGTATGTTCATCTAAAGGGATGGTTACATTTATCTCAAGGATGAAATTTGTGCTTCTTGTGACTCGATTTCCCATAAGTTCCAAATATTGATAATTGGAATACAGCAGAAAAATAGGTCTTTGTGCAAATTTTTATCATCCATAATTGGAAGCTGTGATGACTGATGAGCTTTTCGATGCTTCAAGTTGAAGTTACACAAAGCGAGGCGTTCAGATCCAATGTTTGGGTGTGTTAAAAAATGGTATGCATAGCATCTTGGTGAAACTGATTTTTTTTTGTTTTGTATTATACTATTATTTCTTTTCATTGAAAAAGTTCTATACACATCAGCCCTGAAAGTGATATTTCTCCGAAGTCTGGAGTTGTAGCGGTCCATCCAATTTTTTTATGTAATTCTGAAATCCCTGTCAGACCAAAATTATGTGCTTGTAAACATTTTGTAGCTATTCAGTTTTTTGTTATTCAATAGTGAAATCACTTTCATGGCACTTTGTTTCTTACGTTGTCATGGAGCTCATTGTTATTCAATAGCGAAATCACTTTCATGGCACTTTGGCACTTTGTTTCTTTCGTTGTCATGGAGATCATTGTTATTCAATAGTGAAATCACTTTCATGGCACTATGTTTCTTTCGTCGTCATGGAGATCAATAATAGGTGCCATATGTGGCCAATTTGCTTGCTGGTATCAAATAAACTGTTTTGCAAAGTGTTATAATTTCCTTCTCTCTCATTTACTGAACGCAACTACTTTTACTATGCAAAGTATCATATTTGTATATTCTTTCTCTATTATCTCCTAGCTGGTTTATTAATTTTTACGGTATGGCGATAGACAATGTCAGTTCTCTTTTGTAAGGCCATGAGAAAAGAAAATTCCCTGGAAAATCATCACAAATGATCTTCCAGAATGTTATACTGCTGTACGTGGAATATACTCATGTTGGCATCTTGGTTGCGAGGTTTCAAAATTAGTGGTGGTTGTCCCTTGTGCAGCTAGGCCCAAGAAGCAGCACCATTAATTCTGCCTTTGGGAGCTAGGACCAGAAGTGTGTCACGGATGGAACCCTGCAGCATCCATTAAACAACTCAGAGCTGGAGTTTGTTACCACCAAAATACTGACTGGAAAAATATAATGTATTTCATGGAATAACTGACAACTGGGCAATTTTGACGGATGCAATCTGTCAGGACATCTCTGCCGTTGGTAGACACGAATGGACAACAGTTGGTGGTGAAATCCACCCACGGAAACCCAGATTTCCTCATCAGGCAGGATCCATCTTAAGGTCAAGAATGCACATCCGATATTTTTCACATCTGATATTTTTGGACGATGTCGTCATCGCGCAAAGAGGAAAATGTTTCTTTTGCAAGTTTTACATGGTATACACAGAAAAAGAGAAGGGAAAATATATATTTGCCTGTATACACAGAAAAAGAGAAGGGAAAATATATATTTGCCAGAGACAGGACAAAAGAGAGGGTGGCAAGAGGATTGGCTGATTGCAGCAACCAAAGCACAGCCATTCATTTCTAGGAGGCCAGTCTCCACCACACAGCTCATATCCCTTGTCCTTGTGTGCCCCCAGCAGGTGCACGACCTTATATGCCAGCTGCTGCACCACTTCTCAAGTCTCAACCCCCTAAGGAAAGACTGTGTGTCATCAAAGAGAGGGTAGCACCTGATCTCCTCGATCACCTTCAGAACCAGAGCAATGGCATCTGCTACTCTCCTCAAGTCGTCTTTCCTTCCCAAGAAGGCTGAATGGGGTGCCACGCGCCAGGCTGCCGCTACCAAGCCGGTGACTGTCAACATGGTTGTCCGTGCTAGCGCCTATGCTGATGAGCTTGTCAAAACCGCGGTATTGTTTCTGAACACCAGCAGTAAAATTACGTGCTTATTACCATGCTAGTTTTATGTTATTAACTTGCAGAAGCTTGTTAGTATCAATAGAAAAATGACATATGGCCCTGTTTGAAACAACTTATTTCAACCATGAAAACTTCAGTTTTGTTTATCATGATTTAACTAATGCAAGTTTGAGGATTCATTAGGAAAGGTAACCCATTTGACAGTTTTGATCCCATATTATTACTCATTTATGCACACACGCTAGTCTAAATCAGCATTCTCTCCTTGCATTGGTTTAGGAACTTGCAATGTTCAGGGAGATGAATTTGTGAACTAGACATCTAGGAGTATGTATATTGGGCTGGCACATGTCAACACCAGTATAGGCCAAGAAGCAGTATAGCCACTCATAATTTTGATGACTACAAGCTAGTTCAGTTACATTTTAGATTACTTTGAAAGGTCCTGCTTAAGTTCTGTGATCCATCTGAAAAGGTTCATAATATGTATGACTTGCTATGGTCTCAAACTTCTGAAAGAACATTTCATCAACTTGGAAAAAGTAACTGTTCTTTTCTATTGAGAAAGGAAAGCTATGATGCTCATTTCAGTTATGGTTCCGAATATTACAAGTTTATTCTTCTTGCTGCAGAAAACCATCGCATCACCAGGAAGGGGTATCCTTGCCATGGATGAGTCAAACGCTACCTGCGGCAAGAGGCTTGACTCCATTGGCCTTGAGAACACTGAGGCCAACCGCCAGGCTTACAGGACCCTCCTTGTCAGTGCCCCAGGCCTGGGACAGTACATCTCTGGTGCTATCCTCTTCGAGGAGACCCTCTACCAGTCAACTGTTGATGGCAAGAAGATTGTTGACGTCCTTAATGAGCAGGGAATCGTGCCTGGTATCAAGGTTGACAAGGTATGTTGTAGACTCCAAACCAACAGATGACATGCGTGTAGGTTCTTAGCTAGAAACTAGATTTGTTGGAGTTGTGACAGTCTCTTTCAAGATCGAAAGCAACAGCAAACCTCTGAAGCTATGCTCAATCTCAGGGTCTTGTGCCACTTGCTGGCTCCAACAACGAGTCGTGGTGCCAAGGTCTTGATGGCCTTGCTTCACGTGAAGCAGCCTACTACCAGGCTGGTGCCCGCTTCGCCAAGTGGTGAGAAACGTGGCCCCTGCTGCATTGGCAGTTACTTTCTGTCGTTATGTACGTGGTGACATATATATATAGATCCCATGTGTGAGTGTGACGTGAAGTTCTGTCACAGGCGCACTGTTGTCAGCATCCCCAACGGTCCATCTGAACTTGCCGTGAAGGAAGCTGCCTGGGGCCTTGCCCGCTATGCCGCCATTTCACAGGTATATATCCTAGAAAAAGGACCATCATATTGGTTTCTTTTCAATATGCATGTACTCCTATATATAAAAACACCCTTATATATCTGTCGAAATGAAATGCTAGGAAAATGGTCTGGTGCCAATTGTGGAGCCCGAAATCCTTCTTGATGGTGAGCACTGCATCAAGAGGACCTTCGAGGTCGCACAGAAGGTGTGGGCAGAGACCTTCTACTACATGTCTGAGAACAATGTGATGTTTGAGGGCATCCTGCTCAAGCCCAGCATGATCACCCCTGGTGCTGAGTGCGAGGAGAGGGCCACCCCTGAGCAAGTAGCCGAGTACACCCTCAAGCTCCTCCACAGAAGGATCCCTCCTGCCGTTCCTGGCATCATGGTCAGCTCTCTCTTCTTGCTAACAGGTTTCTCTCCGGTTGCACATGCCATGGTCTTCTGTGTTCTCAACTGCTATTATTTTGTGCAATTTAATGCAGTTCCTGTCTGGTGGGCAGTCTGAGGTTGAGGCGACCCAGAACCTGAACGCCATGAACCAGAGCCCCAACCCGTGGCATGTGTCCTTCTCCTATGCTAGGGCGCTGCAGAACACCTGCCTCAAGACATGGGGCGGCAGGCCCGAGAACGTGAAGGCAGCACAGGACGCCCTGCTGCTGCGTGCCAAGGCCAACTCCCTGGCGCAGCTTGGCAAGTACACCAGCGATGGTGAGGCCGCTGCGGCCAAGGAGGGCATGTTCGTCAAGAACTACAGCTACTAAGACGACGATACCACTGCTGCTAGTACGTTCCTCGAGGGCACTGTAGGCAGTCTGCCATTGCAGGTTCAGCTGGAAAAATACACTGCAATTTTACTTCTACCCTGAGGCCATTTGGATCATTTCATTGGAGGAATTGGAATCTACTTAATGGGCTAGGCTATTTGGCTTGGGATTTGACATTTCACAACTTTCCCAAGTTGACATATAAGCCTATCTTAAAATTCATAGGGTAGGAGATGGAGATTAATTCTATAGATCATCATGTTATGTTTCTACTCTGCAACTTATAGCACGCTCTTCAGCTCACTACCCTACAACACAAATGCAGCACATAATTACGTCCCTCGTATGGCCAACTGTAGTAGACAGTAGGGAAATCAATTTCATGGCACTTTATTTCTTTCGCTGTCATGGAGATCAATAGGTGCCATGTGTGGCCAATTTGCTCTTGTAAACATTTTGTCACTATTCAGTTTTTGTTATTCAATAGTGAAAT